ATAGGTTGTTTTTGCCAGACCAGTCAACAGATATGATTTTATAACTAACTCCCACAACTATTCATCAGATCCATTAATTACATAGGACTCTTCAATATTGCTGTTTGTTATTGGTTATAGGTTGTTTTTGCCAGACCAGTCAACAGATATGATTTTATAACTAACTCCGACAACTATTCATCAGATCCATTAATTACATAGGACTCTTCAATATTGCTGTTTGTTATTGGTTATAGGTTGTTTTTGCCTGACCAGTCAACAGATATGATTTTATAACTAAACCTGATGAATAGTTGTGTGAATGATCCTGCATCACAGTCTACTCCTATCAAATGGAAAGAAGGGATGGATCTAACTAAAAAGCAGAAAGAGAGACAAAGTCAAATGAAAAATAACCGCAAGAGACCACATGAACATCCTCGAACATTTTTCTCATGGTTCACAGACCATGGAGATGCTTCAGCTGATGATATTGCTGAGGTAAGTTATGAAGTCATTATTCTTTAGCTGTCTTAAAGATATCTGAATGTTGAGACTAATAGTGAGGTAAGTTACCATGTTGTTCTTCAGCTGGTTTGAAAATCATATAAACTTGAAAAAGTAGAATTTTGCCACAAACTAGTGTCTGTATTGTGAATAGTATGATATAATAATATTTAGTCATGAACTAGTAACTATGTATTACTCTCAACATAAATTGATTGAGTGAGAAACTTTATCTTTAACATAGTTACTGCTCCATTAGCTGCAGGTTTTTGGCTCAGGCTTCCATGATCATGTGGTTTTAGACCATGAATCAAAGTAATAATGAAATGTTTTTTATATTTATTATTATTGCATAATTTATTTCATGTTTCCAAGGAAATGGTACAATGTTTTTATTTATAAGGGTTTTTGCCTGTCTCTGTATTTGTGATGTAATGTGCTATATAAATCTTGACATCATAAAGCCTATTTGTTAATTTGTTGTATTAAACTGGAATCTTGTGGGGTTATTATTATTTTTATTGAGCATCACTTAGTCCTCTATTTTAAAATTATTTCTAAGCAACACTAGTTAATCTATCTTTGGCTTTCTGTTCAATGCTAGTCAACCTTCATTGTCTTTCTTTGGCTTACATTAACTCTTTCAGCATGGGCTCGGTCCCTGGGACCGACCTCGTAACCATTTTGTGCTTGTTATAGTTTTCATGCTACAACTTTTAAATTAGTAAGTGAATGTTAACGAAATTTGTCAGATTATAAGTAAATGTTACAGTGCTTTCATTTGCAAAATATAATTTTTTTTTATTAAGTCTTAAGGTTTGTAAAGCAGTGTTTTTCTCATGTCTTTTTTTTTTCAGATGTTGCCTATCTATCATGCAAAGTAATATTCATTTTAAGATAAAAAAAGTTTTATGCATCAGAAACTTTTGAACTTTCACATGCAAAATCTTTATAACATCCAGATAGTTATCAAACATTTCTTAAGAAAAAACTTTATATTTTATCTGTTATTATCAGTAATTAATCTCTGTACAGGTTCGGTAGACTTGACCGATCTCGCAACCATCATATATATAAATTATGCCTCTTTCATTCTAGAATGAACACAAATTATAGCACGAAAACATAAATGTTTAGATGAAATAGCTTATATCTCATAACATTATGCATTTATATATATTTATTATATATATTAACTTATTTTTCTTAAAACATAGAACAGTAACTAAAGAAGTAAAGCAAACAATTATCTCTTCTAGTTACGACCTTTGTACTTGGTTGCTGCTTGACGTAGGTTGCTAGGCCTTTAAAAATTTTGCATGTGGAGGATGTGAAACTATATTTTTTAGGTTTAATATACACATTTGAATAACTAAGATGAATTTTAGTCTTAAAAAAATATGAAATTTCGAGTATACTAAAGACACACCCTACCTCATTGAAATATTGGTTGAAAAGAAAGAAATGCGCCAAGTCAGTTAAAGTGCCTGAGAGAGCCATTAGGGGGACATTCTGAGCATCCAATTGGTTATTCATGTCATATATAGAAGTAAGTGTATATAAGGGATCATTTACAAAAATGGAAAGAGGTGGGGTGTCACTGTGTTTGACTTATTACATGAGCAATATGTTATCAAACTGAAAAGTTAAGAGGCTTTTATTTTATATTCTAGCTTGTCAATATTGGCAATTTGAGTTTCTAATTTGTACAAAACTATAGATTTAGTATTTTGACTTCATAAACATCTAATTTGAACCAGTGCCGCATTCAACATACCACATGACACACAAAAATTGATGTTTATTTTTGTTTTATTTTTAATATTTACTTTTAAATTAAGAAATTGAGTAATATATAGTACAACCACTTGAATTATAACCTACAGTTTGATAC